TCGCCGTGGAATTCTCTCGTACGCGCGCTCGACGAGATCCGATGGAGGACTCCGGCGAAGAATGCTCAAAGTTTCCGCCCGCTTCCGGTCCACCGGCTTTCGCTGATGGCTGCAATTAGACCTCTGGCCATCCTTTTGTGTAGCACACGCACGCTTGCGCGCACATACACACGCACACACACAACGTGCCGCACCGAGAGAAGATCGACCGCCGTTGGAAGAGAGTAGACCATGAGCGAGAATATCCTCTCTAATTGAAAGCGACCTTAAATTTTGGAAAAGTTAATGAATTAGAAGAACGACTGTGCGGAACGGACGCGCGTACGCTCCTCTCCGTTTTTCTCGCCGTTGAAAGCTTTCAGCTTAACATCGCGTCCCTGAGTAATGTAACGGATGGAATTTCTATATTAATTACGCTCGAATGTGTTACCGGCGGTAATCGATCATTGTTAAAATTTTAATTGCTCCGTATTAAAATTTCTCGAGAAATTTATTCGATCCATACGATACGGAAATAATTATTTTTAATTAGAATGTAAATTATAAATTAATTTTAATAAAGCTCTGATAACGAAATCAAATTCATGCCTCGAAGATTATGGCTATTATTATTCAATTCTATATATATGATATCTAAGGCAATATAATTATATATAGTCATAATATAATTATATATAGTCATATATTATACATACATTTATTTATTTCTCGAGAATTTAATAAATTCTTATCTTTTTACTTGTTAATTTATTAAATTTCTGGATTTCTCGCTAAGCTCGGATAAATTAAAGTGTACACATGCCATCAGAATATATAGAGAGAAATTATACTAAGAGACAATGTAAATTACAATAATTTCAAGATTATAGCGTTTGTAATTACACATGTATTTCACTGACGAAGCCTTTATATCACGGCGCCTACAAATTCCCTCTCTTTACGTTTCGTCCTCCCCTTCCGAATCGTTAGAACAGATACCCTATTCCTATGCAGGCGGTTCATTGTGAGGAACATATTGTCTTATCGAGCACAGAGCAGTTACAAAGTCCTATGCCTCATGGTAGAGCTATTCCGCTGGAAGCAATTCCGCTTAAGATACCACGTAACAAAGGTCTGTTTATACTCGAAATATCGCGACAAATTTTCGTCGAACGATTCCCGGATCGCTTTGTATCGGGCGTAAGGCCGAGGAAAGCGAGAAAATTCTCGCGATAGAACAGCGGCCGCGTGTATAGAATTCTGTTGTAAATCCATTGTAAAAGTTACATGACGGCTTTTTGCGTGCACGTATCGCGCAATACCGCGGACGATTTCCTGCCGTGATTTCCTGTTATAATATTGACTACGGGCAAAACGCGATCTCAATATCACTCTATTCCCCCCGCGATCCAGTCGCTCTCTCGGAAATCTCGGAATTATATATATATTATTCCGTGATAAATAATGCGTCTTCCTGCACGCCGCATATGACTGTCCCCACTTCCGACGTAATAATACCGCACGAGGTCACGCACATATATTATAGAAATCATTGTTGCCTTCGACAAACAACGATATTCGAACAATATGCCCGTATCGGAATTACGCAAAAGAATTACAATATTTACATTACATAATTATAATATAATAAATTTTTCTATTTTTTTTTCTTAAAATTAATAATTCTTTTCAAATTTATCTTCTATTTTCGATTCAAATACTTCGATTGATCGTATTTAATCGATCATAAAATTGACCAATCAAACAAAGATAGTTTTGTTAGTTCTTTCCTAGACTTCTAAATTGGCGACTGTGCGAATCGAAAACGCGTTGCTTGAAAACCCCAAAAAATTTTTGCACTTAAAACGAGACAAATATAGATATTCGTGTGTTGAGGAGAGAGTAAGCAAAAACTCTCAGTGCAAAAGGTGCATGACGAGAACAGGTGTATAGATAGGTTAGGTTATCCTGTCGCAACTGTTTATGTTTACCGGGAGGTTAACTTCTACTCCGTTCTACTCCGTATTTTAGAGGCAACGAAAGTTCACGAATTCTCAGATTCCGAAGCACAGCATCATCGCTATTGACTTCGAATTTCTTTCGCATATTATTTCTTTTATATTGCTAACAGTAATTTAACTGTTTACAAGGTGTATCTTAAGTCGATAGAATGGAAATAGAACTGATCGAATTAAAAGATATAAAGGCCATACCGGACATAATACACGTTTATCCGGAACGAGTAAAGTCCGAGTGTACTCCACTCGTCATTGACAACGGTAATTTGTAATATATTCTAATTATATCGCATGTTCCACAGTGTATCTAACGGTGTTGCCCGACAACAGGGTCCTACAATTGCAGAGTTGGTTGGGCTACCGAAAAGGAACCGCAATTGATATTCAAGAATCTCATAGCGAAACCAAGGAAGGAACGCGGCAAGAAAGATGGGGAGCCTCAAGTGGGAAACGACATAGCAAACATCGAGGCTGTCCGATTTCAACTGAAGACCCAATTCGACCGGAATGTAGTGACGCACTTTGAGGCTCAAGAGCAGATATTTGATTATACATTCACACACATGGGTATAGACACAGAGGGCAGCGTGAATCATCCAATTATATTGACAGAGGCATTCCTCAATCCCAACTATTCTCGTAACTGTAAGTAAATAATAACTTTTATTGCTGTTGCCTTTTCAATTCTCTTGATTAACTTCTCAATCCGTATATTTCAGTGATGGCAGAATTACTATTTGAATGTTATAACGTACCGTCAATAGCGTATGGAATCGATTGCTTATTTTCGTATCAGCACAATAACTGCCCACCTGACGGTCTGATAGTTAGCATAGGCTATCACACGACTCACATAATACCAATATTGGATGGGAATGCGGATGCCACGAACGCAAGAAGGATCAATGTTGGTGGATATCACATCACATCGTACATGCATAAACTCCTTCAATTAAAATATCCAGTGCACGTCAACGCAATAACGCTTAGTCGGGCGGAGGTAAAATATCATATATTATAGAATAAAATTATAAAGTGAAATCTATATATTTCATACTTTGTATTTTTTAACAATCACTAAATGTCTGCCTCGTACTTTCCAGGAATTGATACATGAGCATTCGACGATTGCTTTAAGCTATCAAGAAGACTTATCCAAATGGGCAGATGTAGATTATTATGACACACATGTTTTACGAGTGCAGTTACCATATGTTGCGCCTGCCACTACTCCCGGTCTAACGCTCGAGCAACAGAAAGAAAGAAAGCGGGAATTAGCACGGCGACTGATGGAAATCAATGCAAGAAAGAGAGAAGAAAGAGTAGGTATTTTCTAGTTTTATTCAGTTATTACTGATCGTGATATCATTACTTGATGTTTAATTATGCGTCTCTGTATTTGCAGTTAGCAGAAGATGAAGAGCAACTTAATCAATTGTTAGCAGTCCAAGATCTTCTAGAAGAAGGTGAAATCGACGAATTCGATCAGGCATTGAAATCTTATTCTCTTGCAAACGAGGCTGATTTAATAAAAATGATTAATAATCTACAAGCAAAAGTAGAAAGAACCAGACAGAAAATCGTTGCTGCTAACTCTCAAGAGGAAAATATTGTGATGGAGGAAAAACCTAAAATTAAATCAAACCTCCAACCTAAAGATCAGCAAGATTTTGATGAATGGATTGCTGGAGTTAGGAAAAAAAGGTAGTTTTTCAATATAATATATTGATAATATCCATTGCGTATGTGTATTTATCTATAATAGATTATTCAATCTTTATTTCTTGTAGGCAAGAAATATTAGACAAACGCATGGCAAAGAGACAACGAAGGCAAGACATGGCGAAACGAAGAACAGCCGCCGCACAGGAGAGGATGCGTATAATTAGTCAGTTAGCGAAAAAAGAAAAGCGCGATGACGATTTTGGTATGCGAGACGAAGACTGGGACGTGTACAAAGTCATAAATAGGGTATATATTTTCCTTTTTATGCCGAATTATATAAAGTAATATAATCTTTTGTTACAAAATGTTTTTTTTTTTTTAATTATAGGAAGGTGGCGATTCAGATTCAGAATTAGAACAGGAGAAATTATTGGAATTAGAAGATGTTTTACGTCATCACGATCCAGAATTTGATAGTGCAGGATCTAGCGTTCCTATGGTTCCTGGGGAAACCCATCAGCTTCATGTAGGCGTGGAACGTTTACGGGCACCAGAATTGGTGTTTCAACCATCTATGATTGGTTCTGTAGAAGCCGGGATTGCCGAGGCAATCGAATTTGTTTTAAAACAATATGCTCCCGAAGAACAAACGCGTCTCGTGAGTAATGTATTTCTTACCGGTGGATCAACAACTTTCCCGGGATTATTGGAAAGATTAAAACGCGAACTACGCGAAATCAGACCTTTCGGATCGAACTTTCAAGTGAATATCGCAAAGAATACCAGCTTGGATGCCTGGTACGGTGCAAGAGATTTCGGTTTAAATGGTAATCTCCCTGAATACTTAGTCAGTCGCAAGGAATACGAGGAGAAAGGTGGAGAGTATTTCAAAGAACACTTGACAAGTAATACCTACACCCGATCACCCGATCCCTTGCCGATGATACAAGTGCCTGTAACATCTGAGCAAGTAATCGTGGAGGATGCCATAGTTGATGTCGAAATTGAATAAAAGTATTTAATTCGTATATTTATTTAATAATACAAATTTTTAATTAAATATAATTAAATAAAGAAGTATGTATGTATATACATGAAAAATTCTAAATTAATTTACCTTGAATTAAATAAAAATATTTAATCCAAGGTAATTCGAATATTAATAATATAAATTTTTTATTAAATATAGTTAAATAAAAAAGCATGTATACATGAAAAATTTTTAAGTTCACTTACCTTGTGTCGAGCAGATTTTGCAAATAAAGCTTGTATATTATGGAATGCAGTTTGGATTTTTATTATTAAATGGATATTGATAAAAGATATGACCAACACTTGTTCATGGATACCTACTTTATTACACAAGTATTTCTGTTTGTTCATTTTATTACGAACAAACTACATTGTAGTCTGTTGGCTGATCACAATATACAGTTCCCAAACATCGCATTTCGCCATTCAAACACAATTACGCGGGATACGTTTTATACGTGTTTTACTTTTCTTATTTTTTTTCGAGGACAATCGACATCGGCTTCTGGGCGTATTTCGTGTAGCCTAAAAAATTATGAAAGTGATCCCTCACCTTAGCGATAAGATTGATTTTACAGCAACCTCAGATTACAAATCTCCGATCTCGGTTCGCGAGAGCTTAAGCTAACATCACAATATAATAATACACTGAAATCATCGAGGCCCCATAGGCAGTTACAACTAACACTACTAATTCTTGCGCAACGTATATCAATCAAGGAACCCATACCGCGATGTAACGCTTCAATTTTCGCGATTGCTCGAGAACCTAAACTGACGTAGAATAAAGAAAGAAAAAATTCACATCGTGCGCGATGACATCACAAACTCGTAGATCACAAAGAGCACAGCATTTGTTCATAGTACATATTTGATCAAGCTTAAAAAAAAAGTTCTGTGTTTTATTGCGTATAATATTGCGTACTCACAGTCTGCATGAAATACAATTGCAAACGTGAGATACACATTGTTATAAAGTATAATGTATAGAGCATGTTCTTTTTATAGATTCTTCTGCATAAAATACATATTTCACTTTTACATAGACAACATGCTGAAATAAATTGGGATACATATAAATACTTTCTATTAAAACAACACAACGTAAATCTAGTATTAAAAGCGTACAGTGTTCCGAATATTTGCAAACGAAAATTAAATAAAGCTCATTACAAAATTAACATAATCCTTAAAATGACCTCGCTGTAAGATAATAAAGTTAGAAATTAAATTCGTGTATTCACATAACATTTGATGATCTATTTTGCTTTATGCCACGTTTATCACACGTAATCATGTAATGAGCTTACGTCAAATTTCACAGACGTGTATTTCGTTCGCAAGATTCACCAATGAGTTATATGTACCTCGATACAGCGCAAAAAAAAAACAACTTAATTTAAATATCCTTTATATCTATCACAGTTTGAGGTCGCTGCAAATCAATGTCTCTCGCCTGTAACGACGTACTATAATATCTTATGAAAATTTTCATTCAGAGAATGGAAGGATAGGTGTGGAGGACACTTGGGTAGTTTTGTTTACAATAAGATTGAGGTAGAATCCAATCTGCAAATAAATACAACTTTTGATCCGCATATGCTATAAGTGAGGGGCTACTTCCGTCAACAATAATTGTAACATTAATTAAAAGTATACGTAGCATTAAAATCGACGCCGCGACAACGATGATAGTGACGATGATAATTATGACGATGATGACCATGATAACAGTAATCATAATGATGATAATAGTAATAATAATAATGATAATAATATAAGGATGAAAAGTAATAATTCACAATAACTAGTACAACAACGGTTAATGTTTGTTCTGCAATATAATGGCTGTATGCATTTATATATATATATACATATATATTTATGTATATGTATTCATATGGTGGGGCAAAGATTGACAGCTATGTACAATACATGCTTGCCTTAGTTGTACCATTTTTATATTATACGCACCTATACCCTCCGCATTAATTATGTGACAATAATAATTAATATTTCGATAATGATAATAATCAAAATAATTACAATAATAATAATCGTAATTATATTAGTATCGTTTGCTCGTAAAATATCCTATATATAACATGTACCTGTAATAATAACTAGGTATATGCAGTATGTACGTAAGGAGGATGTGTTCGGATAGGATATGTCGATAAAAACTATAGTATACCAAGCGTCAACTTTTTATTATCTCTGCTATCGTTTGTCTTGTTTCTTCGGTTGTTTTTTTTTTTAATCGTTTTTCGCAAAATGACTATTACAAAAGTGCACGTTACTCGCGATTCTTACATTTTATTTTACGTACATACATAAATCGGCGTAGATCTATCTACTTCTTCATTGTCGTTTATTATATTAGTTCGGTAGCGTTTATTATTTCTTTCAGTTTATATATATATATATATACTTTATTCTCCCTTAACGGAGCGCTACGATAATCCCCTTGTTTTATATCATACATACATACGTACGTACATACATACACACTTTGCGGGTGTACATAATACGTGACATGATACTTTCTACGCATCGCCGGTACATATAGGTATATCTTATCGTCGTATATCGTATCATAATTTTGTTCCTCCTGTGATTTTTAAAACGCGATATTGCTGACACGGGTACCGTCAAATACCCGCGGCTAACAGCAATCCTTTCGCTTCCCTTTGCCCACCCGTTACTCGCCAAGGATTCGACGACACGCAATTCCGGACTTGCTTTCGTTCGTCTTTTAATATCAAGGCTTTTAGGCACCGTTCAAAAACTCGAGTTGAGAGAATTATTATAGCGACAGAGAAGAACTTACGCTTGTACTTACGGCCTGGTGACTCTTAGCACCCCCGATAGACCAGATTTAACATGTATTAACCCTTCACAGCTCGTAAGAAAGAAACAGCATGACCGGTACAATGAGATATATTTAGCGAGAAAACAATTGTTCGATGAAAGTGATTACGATAAATGACATTAATATTATCGTGTATAAAAATTCGAAAACTATCCCCGAATTTACAAATTAATCATATCTCGGTCGTTTCCAAACTTAAAACATACGCAACAAGACTAGTATCATATGTAAATTATATGATCAACGAAATCTTACTTTAAAACGTGATCGTAGAACGTCTTGAACTACATATAATAGAACTTTCCATAAATATCGTGGACTTCCTTACATCGTGATTCACCTCTGTGCATTATTGTTGCAAAAGTGTGACGGTTAAAAGCTGTAAAGAGTGAATGCAAAGCGCACTCCCGCCGTCGTTGCAAAAAAATATCGTTGGACGAGGAAGACCGTTGTCATATGTATATACATGTGCAGATTTCGTGCATGTGAAATGTGTGTTCTCAAATCTCTCGTCGGGTTGCTACAAAAATATATCTCAAATAAAGAAAAAGCGACGGACACCGTTTAACAGCGAGTGTATGTCCCTTTCGCCGTTTGTCCCGTCTATATCTCCTACGAATCGATTATTTCTACACGGTTCAGAAACGCTACGTGACATTTATCTCTCAACGTGGTTGTTCAATCCCGACGTGTGCCCCCGTATTACATCCTTTCCCCCTCAAGTGATCCGCTTGACGCACACGCCGGTACTCTTTTGTACATCTCTTTTACATCGTATTAAATCTAGCTTGGGAAGCGTGGCTCAAGCGAACCGCTCAAGTTCAAAACGATCGTCGCCTCGAATGCCGGAAAGAGCAACGCGCGCATATCGCTCCGGCAATAATTTCTACCTTCGGGAATAAAAAGAAAACGGAGCGCCCATTTTGTCGCGACCGCCGCCGCCGCCGCCGTCGCCGCCGAGGAATATCTCTTATTGCTGTAATTCAAAGTGCGTTAATATTCTTCCCTTCACGCAGAAATATCCCTGCCAGATCCTCCTCTTCCGATCCTCCCTTCCCACCCCTCACTCGCTCGCGGAAAGATTGCTTTGAGAATCATTGCCCTGATAATAAAGTTGTTCTGCTACGTATATTCATGTATATGTGTGTATATGTGTGTGTCGCGCGTCTCCGTTCCAAACTAAAGCCAGTACTAGAAGTGCGTGTCCCTTTTTCTTTTTTTTTTTTAATATATATATATGTATATATATTCCACTGTGGACTCTGTGACACCTACAAAAATTCCTACACTACTTTATTACGCAGGCCTCTATAAGACTTACGGTAGCACAGTAAACCCCTATAAAAATAAGAGCTATCCTACGTAAACGTATTACAAAAATAAATGGCATTGTACTCTGCTAAAGAAGCAAAATGGTACAGGCGCAATGTCGAGCGACGCGAGCATTGTCAATTTAACTTCTCCCCCCTTTCTTCACTTCATCAAGTTCCCCGTCTTCGGTTTTAGGTGTCTTTCTCCTTCGTTTTCGTCGGACCCCGAGACCGATCGCTGAATTCGAAAGCTCGAATTCTTTCCTTCTTTTTTTTTTTTTGCTTTTATCATCTACCGCCCTCTCCTCCACGAGACCTTCCTCGGATCGAAACCCCCTACTGAAAGTCAGGTTTAATTACATCACGTGCTGCTCGTGCCAGGCGACGCGAGGGTATAAAACGTTACGAGCCAGGGCTGTGCTTACCGGGGCTATCACAAGTACGGAGTCGATCGCACGGCACGATAGAGCACTTGGTGAAGGTAGTCGGGCCAGGAACCGGCTTTAAAGTATCGGGAATGAAACGTGGTGCCCTCCGATAAAACATTGCCATTTCTCTTATTGTTCATTGGAACGTTAGGAGAAAAGCGCGCTCTCCTATCTGATCTGATCCCTTTCACGCGTAAACTGAAACGATCAAATTGGTCCTTTCTCTGACATTTTCTCCGATTTAATAAGAGATGAAACGCGAAAAAAGAATGTCGCGAAGGAGACCCGTTTCTCTCATTTTCCAACGAATAATACATTTCAGAAAGTGACAATATTTTCAAGGACAACTCTGTATGTACGTTTAAGGGGAGGTTTGGTAAGGGTGCCACCACCAATAGTTCCACATTTCGGTTTAAAGAATACATCAGGAAGATACGTGCAACTACCCGCTAAACTGTGTATACGAGTATTAGGATATTAGAGTACATGATACATCCGAGATGATAGCTAATCAACGTAACGAAGACAAATGATCTAACACTGACAAATATAGAGCGTTCCAAGATTTTTCGTATATAATAATCGATCGATTATATATATAGTTGATATATTGTCGTATGCGTCGCTGCAAAAGAAGTCAAACAGTTTCAAAATAAATGTAATAATTCTTCTAAAATTCATTTCTTTATAATTACATGCTTTCTATATTTCATTTCTTTCTTCCTTCTCCTGCATGCCTAAACATACATATTGTTTTATTTCAAATACGGAAAAAAACGTACATATCTTTAATGAAGTAAAGAACTTTTATAATAATGATCGACAAAGTATATAATATAAATATACAAATATTCGATTATTATACAAGTATTCGAATATAATTGTACAATCACGATATTCATAGAAATCATTCGTAGAATCATTTCTTCTTTTAGATTGATTTATTCGTGATTTTATGCATATTTCCTTTTTTTATTACAATACTGCCGATTTTTTGTTCTCCATCTAGAAAAATACGATTAAAATAATTCATTTCTCGACATAAAAAAATTTTTTATACTTTTTATTATATTATAGAGTATTATAGTAATAATACCTTAAAAAGTCCAACAAAATTCAATTTTATGTGAAATATAATAAAAAAAAAAACATCTCAACTTTATATATAAAGTTATACAGAAAAATAATACATTAAAAAATATCCAACGAACGTAAATCTTTACATGTAAAAAGTCTTTGTTCACATACACATATACATACATATATGTATATGTGTGTATGTACATACATTCCATTCTTCATTTCATGATTAAAAATGTAGATTATTTAAAATTATTTAAAATATAGAAACATATCGTTGTGTAAGTTACGTATACAGCATATATTTTCTAATGGCATATACTATTAGAAAATATACGACTTGAGAAAAGCAGCAACGTTTAAAATTGTTTTCTGTTATTCTAAATACGAATTGTATAAGCTTTTGCAAATTTCATAAATAACTTAACGTCAGAAAGCGTCTTTTTATCTCCATGACTGTATGGCATCCTAGAATCCACAAACTGATATTTATTTAATTTAATGCAGAATCATTTTTGTTGCTTAACATATTGCGATCACTGTACTAACTACATTAGTTATTAATATCGCCGATCTATCACTATCGTATTCAAGCGCAAGAGAGCAGCGTCACTGAGAAATGAGCGTGAATTTATCTATCTACAGGAAGAGCTTAATAAAGTTTTCAACTAATTTTTCACGATAGCGAGAAGTTAAAATAAAATAGATAACTATGTCGATGCTTGCCCTACATTATCTTTAATACCTGGCAGGATCCTCGAAACTTCATCACATGAATTTATCTAGCGATCAAATTAAAATAAATTATCTTTTATATATATTTGATTAAAATAATTTTTCTCTTAGTATTTTCTTCAATAAGAATTAAACATGATAACAATGGAAGAATTTAATGAGAGTAAAGTCGTTAAAGATAACTCATTTATATCTCTTCCAATATAAAACACAGCTATCGACTTTATAAAATGGCAAGGATAATATAAAAATGATTAATTAATCATCATTAATAGTATAATTTGAGAAGAGTGCGGAAGAATTTCATGAATCTATGCTTTTATGCTTTGCTTAAAACAAATCCGATAGGATTATAGGATATATTTTATATGCACAAGCTTATAAATTAATACATGATTCGACAAATACAAATGTTTTATATAAATTATTATATAGTTTATAAAACATAGTAATATTAATAGATCTTTCTGAGAGTTAATTTTTCTACAAGTTGCTCAAATAATAAAAATATGGAAAACTATCTAATACTGTGATTGATTGCAAATAAACACATTTATATTTCGAAAAGATAAACTATACGTAACAATCTCAAAACATTGGTTTATTTATAAATCTAGATAATCATTCATTTCTTTATCGCCCGTTTAATATTATCTGTAACAACCGTATTTCTTCCGCACTGCAAGGTGATAAAAGAGATATAAACAGATAGTATAACAATTATATTGCAGAATATTCTGGAAGTTAAGCAGCACTAAATTTAACTGTAAAATCACAGGATATGGTTACCTAATGTTAGATAAAGATTTATGAGTACAAATTTTTATTGTTCGTATTTTTCGGAGGTAAATTAAATATCAACTTTGCGTTCCCAATTCCAAACAAATTTCTTTAATGGAGTAATGCAACATAAATTAATATCATATATAATAATCACAGACATAAATCTGAACAACCAATTTTTAATGGTAAGTTTATTGTATATGATTTTTTTTACGGAAACTCATAAAATGAATCATCATAAAAACACATTGTAAAATAACTTATTAATTGACGCATTTTGCATACAATGTTAAGAATATGCAATAAATAAAATTTTCGTAAATATTCATAAATGAGTAGATACTATCTATACAATGTTTTACAAATTTATATTACATTTCTTCATGTATTACAATTTCTCAAGACGAATATTGTTGTTATTCAGATCAAACTTGTTTGAGAAATATTTTTCATGCAACTATTTACTAATGTTTTACCAAGAATCGAAAACTCAGAATATAATCGCTGCCTCTCATTGCATCGCTCTTGCAATTACATTCCATAAAGAACAAAAAAAATAGTAATTTTGTAATCAATTATCGATTTTTGCGTAAAATTTCGTTAAAAAAACCTATAACACTCGCGTAAAAAAGTACCGTATTACGTTACGGAAATTGTTACATTACGTAAATATCTAACGCATTCAGTGGAAACAGCATTTGTGCAGAAGCTATCTAAATAGCAATCAAATTGATCGTTAGATCCAGCAGATTATATCTCGAGTATCACAAGCTACAACAGTTTCTTCAGCTAAACATGCTTATTATTGCATGCTCATTTAATGATGAAAATTAACATACGATTACTATTCAAATAAAACCGCATGACTTGAATATATATAAAAATCACTCGCTCTCGATCTCTCGTGTTCGTATGAAATCGCCAATGCTCGCAAAGAAACAGCGTAGAATTCATACGCGATAACTTGCTGAACTGTTTTACGTAGAAGCTTTTACGCTCGTCTCCTAGCGCAATACGTCTTTTGATTCCATTATTGATTACACTATGTACAAGGTTGCTTTTAGAAAATTCGGAATTATACGTTCACGAGTCGTCTCTTTCCCTTTCGTGCGATTCGCGGCAGCGCATCACATTCTCGCGCCCTCGATAATATGATAAAAATATGACCGACATCAGGACGGCCGATATTCTAATGTCAAAATTTTCGTATCAAATGATAAAATCAATCTTAAATCAAATCGACAGTTGACGTAAAATCGATAATGATTTCTGGCGTTATGATGTGAAGTGGAAAGAGAGTGAATCAATATTAAGAAATGAGATGTGTCTCTGTTGCGACGATAATCGACTTTCGAAATACCGGAAATAATCCAAGACGTCATGAGGAATATCAGTCGTGGAACAAAAATAAAAGCCAATGAGTATCTATCTTGTCACTGAGTGGGAGAGAAGTAGAACAAAGTTGATATTACATTCTTGAACTTTTAATATCAATCATCTACGAATTCGGTCAAGCATACTGCGGTAAAAATCTCTATTATAAATCCTCGTTTATTGCAACTTATCCACTTTTTAGGATTTTTTATTTAAAAAATGAAAAAAAAAATAATCATTTGAAATACTTACATAGAATAAAAAGATTTTTTACGCTTACCCAAACAAAAAAAAATTAATAAAATCATTTAAATTGCCCGATAGTTAACAGATGATAGATGACTAAAAGAAAAAATTTGTACACATGATGACGCACACCAATTAAGAAAGGCAGGAAAACCGAAATAAACAAATCAAGAAACGTGCAATCTCGCATTCTACGTAGAAGTGTTCGCTCATCGCGCGTTCTGTATAAGTATATAGCACTTGTAGACGTATTCCGCGCTTTAGAAACGCCGCAGAACGTCCTCTCCCTTTTTTTCTTTTTTTTCATTTTTATCATTTTTCATATATACATATGTATTGGTCCGACGGGAACTCGAAAGAGGGACTCGTCTTCCCTCCCCCCCTCTTCTTACGAAAATACATATCTTTTTTTGATATACATGTCGCGAATAGAACTCGAAGATACGTCCGCGAAAAAGCGGTCGGTGTGTGAGATCGTTATTACCGATTCGAAAGTTACGATAAATCAGTGCTGGGCAATCCTAAAAAATATACGCATACAGCTTACATGTACGCGATATACTGTCTGAAATAGCTCCTAAATTCTACGTATTGGATAACACAGTTAAAATCTCACTACATTTTCAGGACGCTGATTTTACTGGCTAACGATCGTTCCTGATTGAAATTAATGAAATTTACCGGTCACGTTCACCGGAAAGAGATGCAATTGCGACATTCGCATTTCTAGACATCGAGCATCGTTGCCGTTAGCGAGTTTTTTAAATCACGAAATGGTCGCCCGTATAAAATTCCGAAAATAATAATAGCATTTTGTGCAATTCCCGTCTTAACGTTTAGCAACGTAAATAAATTGAAGCTTTTTTTTGATCGAACGAATGCACCCCGTACGTTATCCTTCCTTTGCGTAATCACCATATTTAAATAGTGGGTTACTGTCAAATAAATCAGCTTAAAACGCATAGATAAGATAAGAATATGGATAAGATAAGAACAACCCACCAAAAGAGCAAAGGAAGCATCTATTTCAAACAGTACGATCGTTATGTAAAAATGTATAAAACGTAAACGCCCGCGCACGCACTTGTATAAAACTCTCTTTAAACACTCGCGTAATTGCGAGTCATCTCCAAACGACAACTTATGATACCTATCTATGTGCCCTTGCCCAACACTGCGAAGGTATGCGTCTAAGATGAAAAAAAGGGAAAAGAAAAAAAAAAGAAAGAGATCGTGAGTGAATAATTAACCGATCGACCGGAACTGCGATTTTTAAATATTCCTAAGGCTATCTAAAATTTCACTTTTACTTACATATTTATAATAAACTACAAAATATATATATGTATATATATATATATATGTATATATAGATATATCACTATAATTAGGAGCTGCGCGGTCATATGCACGGAGGCTTTAATCACAGCTTTGTAGTACACTTAATATCTCGTAGAGCTGCCCAATGACTAGCCGACAAAAAAAAAAGATCAATTGCTTTCTCTCATTGCAACCTCGTTCCTTAATGTGAACCAGAAATCGCGCACGTTCACGATTTCTCTCACGCGTAATTAACTCAATAAATCGCTTATTTAATTTTAATCAATGCGGTCGCTTGATTAATTAACTATGTTAATTAACGAAACAATGGATTACGTTAACAAATTTACTCGCGCGATCACTCAACTCATTTCATCCACGAACGTACATTTTTTACGCGGCTCTTCTTCATCGATGAAAGACTCTATCGCATCCATCCTCTCTTCAGCGCGTTTACATGCGATTCCGGTGAAAAACGAAAATCAGAAAGACGAGAGAGAGAGAAAGAAAAAGAGAGAGAGAGAGAGAGAGAGAGAGAGAGTAAAATGGAGAGAAAAAAAAAGATAAAAAGCAAGAAAGAGAATAAACGTTTCTCGTATCCCGTAGTTCGTTACGATAAAGATCAGTCTTGCCCAGGTGACCTCGCATCCACTTTAAATCGAAAGCCTCAGGCATACGCGCGCAGAATCATTTTGATCATTTTACAATGTGAAAATTAGATCGCTGAAAGAGAGAGAAAAGAGAAAAAAAGAGAGAACCACTAAGGGGAGTTCGAGGCACGCTAGCGCAAATATATATAGTTTCTTTCGATTTGTGTACCTTCGTAGCTCTACAACGTGGTTTCACGTGACTTAACGCGCAATCGTTGGTGAATTGCATTTACACGTGGTCACAATTATTCTCAGATTTCGATTACTCGAAAGCGATGATCGCGTTTAAGATGTGCACTTTTTGAGATTTACTCCCAGTTGTACATACGCGCGGTTGTCATGGTTCCCCCCGCGCTTGCACTAAAAGCTCGTGGCGTGTAAGAGAAAGAGAGAGAAAGAGAGAACAGGAGTTAATAATAAACTAATGGCTAAGAGCGTTCGCGCGAAGAATCAACAGCCTATTGCGCCTTTTACATGGTAGAACTCTCTGTGTGTGTGTGTGTGTGTGTGTGTGTGTGTGTGTGTCGCGTGTGTCTGTGTGTGTTTTTATGACCTGCATCTCCTACTCTTCCACTTTATAATACATTCGTACGTCGTATATGTATATACAATATATATATATATATATATATTTGTGTACACTTCGAGATATGTGGAAAGTAAGTACAACTATGGAACTGATTGAAAGCTATGCTCTACCCTCTAAACGAAGAACAATTTTCCTTTTATCACAAACGCGCACCTCGTCACATACGAACGTATCCGTCGGCGAAGGGATGAACGTTTCACGATTCTACCAGAGAAAGCGACAGAAAGGAATTCTCGTAGCGTTTCAAGCTAAAGAGAAACCATGACGACTATGTGACAGACCGTAGTCGTATGCACTACATGTATAGTTACCGAAATAAACGCGCGCTCTCGTATGTGTGAATGTTATCCTTAGCGATAATGTGATCGTAGTAATTTCTTTTGTTTTTTTAGTAATATAGTAGTACATAGTAGCAGTAGAGTAATAGTGGTAGTAATAGCCGTAATAGTAGTGATAGATAATATATAATTGGGGAAATGTCGGTGGTGGTGATAGAAGTGATAGTTAGAATAATAGTAGCAGTGATAATAGTAGGATTAGCCGTAGTAGAGTGTTACTGTTGTTGCTGTTTGTAAAATTAATAATTAGGGTGTCTACCAAACACACTTTCGGTAGAGACCAAACGTTGCTAAAATTTTTTGATCGCCTCGTGACATTGCTTTTTTTCATTTTCCTCGTTTTGATATTCATCAAAATAGTAAACCAATAGTTTAAACATTGTAGATAATAATTACTATCTATATCACAGATTCAAGTGACTAAATTCCTTTAAAAATATAATATAAATATGTGTTATGTGTCGTAATGATTCGCATAATATATATGCACACACATACGTATATATGTATATGTGTGTGTATACATACTCGCAGATACGTGATCAAAACCAGGCGAAACAAGAGTGCTGAAATCGCGGAGACTCGTTAGAAACGTTAGACGCTTCGGTTTCAGCTAGCATCGCGTACGAATGGTGATCGAATCATTAGAACGACCTGCGCCGGCACGATTTTATCGTCCAACGATTAAAGAACCGCTTCAAGCGGGTGCTATTCAATCCCATGTTAAAAAGATGTTGTGTGAATATAAAATCCATTAGATATAAAGACACAAAGTATTAGCGAACATTTATCGAACAGTAATCACTTCGCGATTGATCGTACCCCTTCTGGACCGAGACCGTATCTCTAAACTGTGACGAGCGAGCATCCGTTGTTACGAATCGGAAGTGGATGCTCGATAGGCACTTTGATCAACCGACGCGATTAAATAGCACCAGTTTCACTGGTATTTTTCGTTCGTGTTGGAAGTGTTGTCGATCGATGCTAGATGAAAACTCGCGTTTTTAATTGTTACGCTGCATATATTCCGAATACGAAGTCGCGGGACTCGTATTCGAGTACTGGGCGTACAGATAGAGCGCGGGGTGAAGCCCTGGCGGAGGGATGCCGCGGTGCAGCTGATGCGAATGATGTTGCGACTCCGATGTTGGGTCTAGAGGGGACGACAAGTGCGGATAGAGTTGGGAGTTGGGGCTTTCCAAGGGTTCGGAAGAGCCCGTCGTTTGGTAGACACTCTGCGGTGTGCTCGTGTGCTCGGTGTGAGATATAGGTGAGTTAAGTGTGAACGGCGAGGACGCCGAGGTGGGACATACTACTTGCTGTGGTGATTGGTGTTGCGGCAGGGACTGGGTAGCGCTGCTGCTGTCTAAACACTAGTTGGTGGTCTGCGGATGCAGCAACGGTAGTGGAAGCTGTAGATTGTTCTGCTTGGCTAAACTGGCGATCTCCGCGGCGATGCCCGCGCCCTTAGCTCCCGCGAGACCGTCCAATGACGACGGCCCCTCGCTGTAGCGCAGATCACAGACCGGACTCTCGAAGCCGGTGCCCGGCGTACCGGCACCGCTGCTCTGCGGCGTCGGTGGATTGTGATTCGAGCTGCTCTGATTCATGTCGCGGTGCACCCGATTCTGATGCCTTATCAAATAACTGTCGCGTACAAATGTACGTCCACAGATATTGCACTCGTAAGTGGTACTGGCGGTATGTGTACGGATGTGAATCGCAAATTGACTTTTGGACGTGAACGTGAGAGAACATCGCTCGCAGACCAGAGGCTTCTCGGCCACGTGGCTCCAACGGTGCGCCGTGACGTAGCTCTTTACGGCGAAGCGTTTGTGGCAAATGTCGCACGCGTACGGTCGTTCGCCCGTGTGCACTCGTTTGTGAGTATTGAGACTGCTCTTTTGAGTAAACCTTTTCAGACACAGCTCACATTGAAATGGCCGCTCGCCCGTGTGCGTCCTCATGTGCACTTCCAGATAAGGTTTGCGGCAAAAACTCGCCTCGCATACTGTACAATGGTAGGGCTTGTTCCCCGAGTGAAGTTTCATATGCACATAATAGGACGAAGCGGAGGACAGAACCTTGCCGCAAACCTTGCAAGGTTGAGGTTTGGACCGTGAACCCTCCTTAGCGACCGGCTGTTGGCCCGCGGACTGACGACTCGGTGACTCCTGTTGCATGCCCTGACTCTGCTGCTGCTGCTGCTGATTCTGTTGCGTCTGTTGCTGACTCTGCGGCTGGCCCTGCTGTTGCTGATTTTGCTGCTGACTCAGCTGCAACGTCTGCTGCTGGGGCTGCAGCTGACCCTCCTGCTGAGAAAGATCCTCTCTATCGTCAGATAGATTCATCACCATGGAGTTGGATCCGTCCGAGCGACTGGAAGCAACCGAGTAGAATCCCATAGGCTCACTCTTGATCTGCTGATCGAACATGGACGTCATAATGTCAGCCTGCTGCGGTTCAGCAAGCTGCTGAGGCTGTTGGTCCTGCTGCTGCACTGCTTGCTGATGGGGGAGCAGAGTCAGGTTGCGCTTGACAAACTGCTCATATCCTGCGTACCAATCCACCTGCGTGCCAGAACAAAGATCTAGAGCGGTGCGCCCCAGGGAAAGGAGATAGGGCGGGGGGCGCGCGGGGGTGAGGGGGAGGAGGGGGATGTCACCCGCGCGAGCGGATTACTCGCGGACGGCTGCGACGCGCGTACGGCCGCGTCAGGTTAGACCGGGGTCCGCTTTGACATTTATCTTTGACAAGTGACAGAAGGTAGCCAGACGATCAGCTGATTGCATAACTTTTAACCGCGGGGCGCGTCGCGCACGGTGCGGACGCCACCGCCGGAGGGACCGTCGGAGCCTGCGGTGACGAGTGACGCGAGCCGCTCTATTTTTAAAAGGGCGACCGATGGAGAAACGGCGGAAATATAATCGCCGACAGCGAGACCGGATTCCTCCCGCGAGTGGAGGGGAGGATTCGTGTCTGTTGTACGCGCGTCTCCTCGGTCGGAAAACCGACTAGACGCGCTCGCCGCTACGGTACGAACCTTTGCTAATGTAGTGGTCCAGGTCTAGGGTCGAAAAACGTCGCGCCTCATCGAGCGCACCGCCTCCCTGCGTCGCGCGGCTTCACGGGCAATCGCGAAACATTTGTACGGTCAAATTGTTTTTCTCCGACACAAAATATAAGATGGCTGCTACTATATTTCGCGACGGGCACCTACACGCGCTCACGCACACGCACACGCGCACACCGCCGTCGAGCGGTACATACGCGAGCCGAGCCGCTTGATTGGCCGCTCGCCTTAGGCCGTGCCCGTCGCCGCCGTCCCCGACTCGCTCGCCGATGATTGGACGCGAGTCGCGCCGCCGTGCGCGATTCTCACAGAGCCGAGCGATACGAAGACGGCGGCGCCGCGCACAGACCGATAAGATAACCGAAGAAACCGCAAACTCTCTCTCCGAGTTCGATAACGTTCTAGATGCGAGAACGTGAATGCGAAAAAAACACGATAAGCCAATAATGAATGCGCGTGAACTGCCACGATCGACGCAACGATCAACGTTTGACCATTGTCATTCGACGACACGAAAGGACTGATATCCGCAATTCCTGTTCGAAACGACCGTTCAAAGTAATAGGGAACAAATAATGTTGTCATAACAAGAGCTCGATACCCTTCGCGTGACAGTTGAAAATTCGTAAAATTCACAACAAGGAATACCAACGGCGTGGCCAATGGCGTTCGTCCTGCGAAGGAACGGGAGCTCGTCATTGGTCGTGCGATCGATCGGGCCGCAAATCTGTTCCTCGTTGGCTGCACTGTCTGCACTTTTCAGTCCCCCAGGACGAAATGGACGTGCGATCGAGCGTTGGAGGGAGAAAGAGAGGAGGGACGAGTAACGCGGCAGGTGCAGCTCCGGTTAGATGATCGTACGGGGCCGCACGTTGATGTCGTTCGCTCCGTCCGGAACGGTTTGAAAAAGCGCTATATTTACACGGCGATTCACGGAGCGGACCAAAAAAAATTGTATTCCCACAACAGCGGCCTACACCGATCCGCTTATACGGCAAGCAGAACTGTAACGGTAAATATTACGTGCCATCACAATTATCCTTGATACTCCGACGAAAACGGCCGCGTTTGTACTCCGATTTAATATCGTACAATTGTATCGTGTCGCAAAACGACGTGCTGTCTCGCAATTCGCACAAGTCGACGACAGCGCGCGCGCGCGCGCGCTTGTGTGTGCCGGAAGGAATTTTACACTGAGATAAGGCCTCTCGCACGACGAAATCGACACGGTATATTAGAGTTGACGATTCTCCTCCATTAGTACTAACACACACGCAAAAGTATTCGCTCCTGATAGATGATTCTGCTCCAGAAAGGCGACTCACCCGACTCATTATTGTTTTCGAGCCCATTCCAATGTCCGTCGTATAATCGTCTCGCTCGAAGGGGCCTCACGCGATTAACTTAACTCATGTTAATGTGTTCCAGACTAGAAAAATGGCTGTACCGTCAGAGAACGTCATGAATACAAGTCTCGACGATCCCGTAACAAAGGCAGTGGTCGATAATATAATGGGCAATTTGCCGACGAAAAAGCCTCTCGTTCGATGCGAAGATTGTGACCTTTCTTTCACGAGCCAGGCGGTATTAGATACCCACTTACAAGGTGCACGTCATGCTAAACAGGTTGGTATAATAAGTAGAGATGTACATAAGCTGTCGGGTTCGCAGTGTTTATTATTCAATATATACGTTGTGTTTGGTGTATACACTGTTACAGGTAAGATCTAAGAATATAATGGCAACTCTTGAGGAAACAAAGATTTCATTTACCAAGGATGAAGAGACAAACGGACTCAAATGCAATGTATGTAACGTGTGCCTCAACTCCATTCAGCAGTTACAAACGCATCTCAATGGTAATGAATAAAATAAAATATATACTTGCGATATATATCATAAATTCAGCGTAAAGCTAAAATTAAGGTAATTACGAAAAATGACATGAAACATGTATTTGCAGGAAGCCGTCATAAAAAGAAATTAATGAGAGGTAATAATAAATCCTATATGGTAAGAAAAACACTGCCATATGGTCTTAAAACTAATCGCTTCATGTACCTGGATAAACTAGAGAAAAATACAGTTGTATTAGTTTATAGCTTAGTATTGTTCGCATTCGCATGCTTGACGCTACTGCTCACTTTTGCTTTTCACTTCTTTCTATGATTAATTAACTATGTGGAATTAACTTGCTTGCCATTCGCATAATTTTTTATTGTTGCAAAAGTTCAGTGCTAGTAAGCGCTTAGTCATAATTTGTTGTTATTCAGCGTTATTATTTATTATTATTTATTTAATATTAAATTATTTTTGAAAGATAGGTAATATTATATTTGTTTGCTTATTAACATGTTATCGTGAAAAGCAGTTTGGTCACGACTTGTTTGCATATGTTACATTTAATAAACTAAGTTTGTTTGACTGTACCTCTTAATTCCTTCTCATGTACAAATTTTACATATGTATTACTTTTTTATTTAATATTGCTGTATTATAAAAATATATTTTGTTATTTTTTTTATGACTGCTTTATATACTATGAAAAATATTTCATGAAAAATAAAGAACAACAAACAATGCGAATTATTAAATTTTCGTACAATGGTGTTATATATATTTATGTGTATGTGTGTTTCTTTTCTAAATTTATAATTTAATTTTTCAAAAGAAAGTGAAGGGCAACCGTTTCATAATATAAAATACTTCACAGAAATTCTGAATTTTAAAAAAACAATCGTAATAGGCATATTAATAAAAATCGTGTGTAAAAACATCTATATTTGATAAGAACCTCGTATGGGTATTAATATTCCCTTATATATTGCTATAAAAAGTTTGTAAATTAATGGATTATTTTCGCATGGAAAAATACGCTTTATTTTTACATATTACAGAGATATTCTTAGTAATTATATAATTCTTAATATTATAAGCTCATTAATGACCAATCTTTTTATAGCATGAATGTAGTGTTCAAGCTGATTTATTATCACAAACTACCGCTTCTGCGGCTGTGATATATAGATAGTGTTGATCGCACATTGATGCTTAGGTGAATGGGATGGCAAAACGACCATTGTCACCCAAGGTCCTTCATTGAAATCGACTGGTAGTGCGCAACAATCTGTTCCCGTAAAAAGAGGTTTACTTTCCTGCGATATATGTAACAAGTTCTTCAACTCTACGTCTCAATACAGTGTGGTACAATAATTTTATACATATTTGTGCACATCTAATTTTATCTCACGATTGTCACTTTTTTTCTTTGTTTTGACAATACCTCCATAAATTTGTTTTTACATTTACCTTATGTAATGTGCATTATATATAAATATCGAGAACGTACCACAATGTATAAGTTTAGAATTTAATATCGCCCGTTTATATATTGCAGCATATGAATTCGGAGAAACATGCTGACAAAGTGAAGAGATTTAAGGATCCAAATAAAGGATTTCTCCCGTATCGGAAAAAAATAAAACGAAATATCACTCCCAAGGAACAAATACCATCTTTGTCAAACAGCTTTGTATCTAGTTTTACATACCAGCCATAAGTTACATAGTTTGCACATCTTACATTGAGTTATATATTACGAGATCGGTTTTAGCATGCTATTAATTAATAAATTATTATGATTATACAAATAAATAACGTAAATATGTAAATATACATATTTGTAATTTGAATTTTCGTAAATTATTGAAACGTTTAAAAGAAAGGAAAAATAGCAAGAATCTTTTCAAATCCTAACCAATATATGAAAACAATCGAGGTTGATTATTCCTTTTTATTATTAATTTTCTTAATATTATGTTGAATAATTCAAGAATTTATAGAATCCATCATTGTTTAAATCGTCACATAAGAATCACAAAATTATACATAGCGATATGATGTATATTTACATTTTACATTTTGCTCTGATTAAAAATTATATATGAATTTAATGAGTTCAATCAACTACAAAATTGAAATTAAATGTATTCACAAGTTCTATTCTAAGTCGCTTCATGAATAGATTGTGCATCATTTTTGCGAGAGTCCATCACATTCACACTAAAAAAGAATGCAAGGTGTTAATATTTCAAATATTTTTTAATATACCGTATATCTTACATTATTTTCTGGCATTACTTGGATTATGTATGTTTTCAATAAACGGCGTAATTCTGCATTCTGCGTTCGTAAAGATTCCACTTCAATATTCAAGCAATGTCGTTCTTTTAATATTTCGTGATACTTCTTAAGCCCGATTAATAAACCATCCCAAAGTCGTTCCTTCTTGGCTGGGAAAATTTCATTGTATCGCTCCCAAAAATCGGTTATATCCTGAATTGTCATATTTCGGGATACGACCGTCTTTTTCGCTGTTAATTTTTCTTGAAATGTCTCTGGCATTTCTTTCCATTTAACAAAATGGTATCTTTCTACGAATTCTCGTAACGCTCTGGTGACAAATGTAGCTTCAATTTCAAGCAAGTGTCCCTTGTCACACATTAAGCGTCGTTGCATTTGATCATCGTCTGTACGAAATTAATAGAATTAATATTAATTTTGCTATTTTATTAATATAAAACCTTCTCTGGCTCTTAATTTCCATTAATTAAATTCAGAAGTAAAAATATACGCATACCCTTAACGATATCGCTAATAGATGCATGAGAAGTTGAAGTACATTCCGCGATAGGAAGTAACGTTTCAGTTGAAGAACTTCGAGACGAAACACCTATAATGCTCACTTCGTCGCTAGGAGTAGATAATTTTTCATCACAAATTGCTTCTTTCACGACGGCAATTAATTTAGCTTCGTCTTCCGTGAATTCCTCAGCAGCCCCACAAACGTCTGTTTGTTCAACGCTAGTACTTCAAATAATATTGCTTCAAATAATATTGCGACATATGTATATATTGACGATATTGACTAATATTCAAAATATTATTTATACTATTAAAATAAATAAAAATTTTTTTAAAATTATATAATATATTTAAAATTATATATTCTTTTATGTCAATGAAAACAATTAGAGATTAAATACGCTGTTTAATTGTAACCATCTACCTACTCTGTTTTCAACGAAGGAGATTCATCATCAGTAGATTCGCTTATGACTTTGCTCATATCCTCGCTACACGTGGAACAATATGCATACGGCAGAAAGAAATTCAAGAGTAAGCCAAGCTCCTTCTCGGACTTGATGTTTAACGCCTAATAATATGCAACAATATTACAACGTAATAAGGTACCTCATACACATGTTTACCTGAAACACATTATCCAGTCGTATGATCAGCTGATCGTTCGCGGTGTAAGGTAAAAGCAACTCGAGCAGTCTGTCTTCGATCAAGTAATCGCAACGATCGGCAATCTGCTTTACGATACGATTCAGCAATCGTCTTTCTAAATTCATTTCCTCGATGGTGCTCGCCGGCTTGTAAGATTCACATATTAGCTTTTTCTCATTAATCAATCTGTTTTCTTAACGAATACAAATATGTCCTTGTTAGGTAAATTTCATGCGCAATCGATTTTTTTTTTATGTTTAATCAATCTTTACCTTCCTCTATAGCACACATCACACTGCGATAAGACGGCAGATCTTCCTTTTTTAGCAGGGTTTCTTTCGGCGGACTCCACTCTATGCCCAATGTTTGTTCGTATATGACTTTGTCAGCATTTAAAATCTAAAACGCGTTTCGTGTTTTTAACATCAATATTTTCAATGGAAAAAACTATTTTAGCGTACCTTATCGAGCAGCTCATTCGCGTTTTTTGCATTCATATCCCAAATTTGTATATACTTCTTATCATTAATTCTCGTAAAGTGATTCGACTTTTCTATTAAATCCAAAATATTCTTGTGCGCCTTTATGACTTGGTCGGTGAGCTTCTGTATCTCAAGTCTCGTGTTCTCTTCTAACTCCGCATAATTTTTTTTCAGACCATTGATAATATCTTGAAGTCTGAAAAGAACGTCAGTTCATCGGTTAATCATGATCAATTTACCGATCCCTAGGAACGCGAAGCCTCGTTGTATTCGATTGTACGGAACAATTCGACTTGCATTCAATACCGACTTATTAATTCTTCTCTTTTGCTGATTTTTCACTATAGCGTTCTCGTCCTCTCGTCGCTTAAGCACGGCGTAACTGTAGTCCAGTTTCTCGATGTTCATGAAACACAGCGCTCTCGTGCTCTGCACCTCCTGTTGGAGCTTCTGAATCTCAAGCTCGAAACTGATTTTCTGCGCCCGGAACTCTTCCTGATGCTCAATCATCACTCTCTTCATCTCTTCCTCGTACTCGCGCATTATTTCCTTCCGCCTGTCCAATCCCACGAGACTGTCCTCCCGCAGCTTTTTGTACAGCGCTTCCCATTTCTCCGAAAGGTTATCCTGCAGCACTTTACGCTCCGACTCCATTACGTCATTAATAAGCGACAACTCGTGACGGTAAGCTTTGGTCATGATGTTCATCTAAAATAAAATATGCGAGAGCCATTTATCGCATCCAGTCGTATCATATTAATACTATCGCCAAAAGCATGTATATATGTATATCTAACTTGATTATCCATCCTGTTGATCAACAAGTCTATGTCCTCGCTCTGACTTTTCTGGTCATTAACGAACTTGAGATCGGCGTTCTCCAACTCTTGCCGCAACTCCGCGATGACGACGTCTTTCCTCTCCATGAATTCCAGACACTTGGCATTTTGGGCCTCCATTTCCGCGTGTATGTCTAACGGATCCTTGGACGCGAGGATGTTTGACCACTTCTCGTTGATCTCCCGGTATCTTTTCATGCATTCCTCTTCGTCCTCCTCGAGCTGCCTCAGCAACGTTCTCCTGATTTCTTGCGCCTCCCTCCGTCGCTGTAGCTCCCTGGCGTCGTTCGCCACCTTCACGGAGGTCACCTACACGCAAATTTTCATCAAGTGATTATCAGTCCGATTTATCTTTTCGTCATTATTAATAATATATCGCGAAAATGTACGACGATGAATAACCCACAGGCAACCATCCAAATAATTATCGATGCGAATCGAAATAAATATTTGTTTTATACCAACCACTTCGGCGCCTTCCGTCGACAAGTTTTCCAACAATTCAGAACTAGCAAGTATTTGCTTCTCGGTGAGCGTCTTCTCGACAATCCCTTCATCTTCAATATCTGTTTTTCTGTAAAAGGAGTGGCCGCAATATATTAGACGGAAAAAAAGTTCGATCCTTTAATCGCTACAAAGGCGGCAACAGACGAAATTGCGAAAATACGAATACAGTTGCGCGATATGTCATCCGCGCTCATTCGCGCGCTTTGCGCGGATCGTTTTATTTTTTTAAGGAACATTTTCAAAGAATATTTTAAGGAGAAATTGGGGAAATACATCCGAAATTTGCGAATCTTTCCAGATTTTACTTTTAATCAGTCTCGAGCTGGTGGAGGAGAAACGAATTCTTACTTAGCTAGCGTTTCTAGGCGCCGCTGAATGCGGATGCGACGCGCTAATTTTCGCTCGTTCGGATCCGACGACGTGACGGACGGCTCCTCCGCGTCTTCCGCGAACTCGGCATATCTGTCATTCATTATTTGTCCTCTGCGCTCGCGAGCGTGCGACGTACGTTGCAAATAAATCGGAAAAAGGCAAAATTCAGAAGAATTCGATTTGGAATGTGACGCGCGTTCAAAGTGACAGCGGATATTTACGCCGAAGCAGCAAAATGTCCCAACGTGTGCGAATGTTCCTTCTTTTTCTATAATATCTAAACGCCGCCGGGACACCTCGGCGTTTGTTTGCTCAATATTCGGTCGCCAAGTTGAAGTCGATATATATACGGACGCAACTTGCACGCGTCATGAAGCGTTATATGACAGGTGAAAAAATAGAAACATTTCTTTTTTTCTTTTCGTTTTTCCTCTTTCTCTTTTGCATTCCCGTCATTTGAAATAATTACGTTTTCGAATCGCCGTTGGTAGGGGTGCCCTTCGTCGCATGCTGATATTTGATAATATGCGGTGTGTTTTTAAACGATACTACAGTTAGGTTAGGATACTACAGTTAGTAGCCGCTATTGGTAACTAGTAGCAGTATCGCCCATCGGTAATCGGTGCATCACGCCAAGAGATGTCACTACGCATCAAATACGGCGAGTTTTCGAAGTATAATACAGCAGTACAGGCACAGGCACTAGACAAGTAGTGGACAGTAGGCAGTCATCGCAGATACGACTGATGCGTACATTTATTTAGATTTGACTAACCTGTAGACCTGATCTCAATCCACTGCTGATACTCGCGATATCTAAACATTATATACACGTTTCTTGTAAGCGATAGCACGGTGAGGAAAAGCTAAAATTGTAAGGTAAAGCATAATTTAAAAATAATAAGAATAGGAATAGAAACGAAAGATCCGTATACGTGTTTCATGAACCAGAATAGCGCGAAGCTAAAGATTTTTTATTTATGTCTCTTAATTGAAAAAAGAATTGGTGTAATACATCTGCAGGGACTGATATTTGACAGTCGTTTGGATTTAACGAACCTGCATGCATTATAAAAATCTGAGCTCAAGTGGGCATTTCTACATCAAAACACATACACATATTTTTTTAGCGGTAATACAATAAACATTTCAGGAAAAGCAAAATATGGTCTGATCCAAGAATAATAAGAATAAAAGCAGGACTCATATATTTCATTTAGTTGTAGCAGAGTAATGAAGGCTAAAGCTCAAGTTTTTATTTTATCCCTTAAAAAAAGACTTTCTATGCATCCGCTGAATAAGCACGGCCGAGAACCACGTCGCCATTAGGCTGCGCGAAAAGCCTGCTGGAAAAACTTTAGCAAAGCCGCAAAAAAACGGAACTTCCAAAAACGCGACGGTACGACGTTAAACGAGCGGGCGGGCGAATGAATCGCGAGTTCGTATCGCGTATTTATCTCCGCGCCGGGTTTACGTAACGTGTCGATTGCGATTAGCTCGGTTAGCTCAAAACCCCCCGAAGGGGGCAACACGCGCATATGTATACAATATATATATATATATATATATATACATATATATATATGTACTACATATACACATAAGATGTATATTTATCTGTCTAAAGCGCGATATTAAAGTTGAACGATCAGGACGCGCCGTTATCGCGTCCGTCGTTATCGTCTGGCCCGATAGGAACGAAAGCCGACGCTAATGCACCCGATTTATCTCGTCTCTCGTGCGTTACACGCTCGTCGTGTCGTAACCCCTTCGGGGCAGCGCGAGGAGCGCGCGGAGGGATGATCGCGTCAATGACGAGCGAAGAAATAGCTTTATCCAATGCGATAAGTGCTATCATCAATCGTCTCGCAGAAGGCCCGAGATAATTGTAGCGAAACCGCTAAGCCGCGCTTTCTCTCTCTCTCTCTCGGTCAATCGCACTCCGTGGTTCTTTGTGCACGCGCGCTGAATTAAGACGTACGCCTACGCACATACGGTATTAAGAGCATCGCGATCCGCACGTGCAATGTAATGCCGCGCAACTCGCGACAATGTGCCCGTTTGTATCGTTATAATGCCGCATGTCCCAGGTGTCCCCGTTTCTTACGATCCAATTTGGATTCGTTCGATTATCGATACACGAGGTTAGCAATTCCAACTTCCATTACGCTAGGTGGACGCGAGGCGGATTGTCACAGCGATAACGGATTATCGCGATAAAGTTGTATTGTTATTACGTAACGGAACAGTGACACGTGCGACCGCGCGCGGGCGCGTGCGAAATACGTTAAAGGAATTAAGTTTTATTACGTAAAACGAGTATATATTTTTGACATACATAGGGATACATAGGAGAAATAAAATTAATCGCACACATTGTATTGTAAAACATGCAAATATATTTACTCGACAACACATTCTTTGCGATAAACAAGATAATTATGATTATCGATAATTACGAAATCGTGATGATTGCGCGTGAATACGTGAGTTATTTATCTTTAAATTGATTAAAGATTGTTTTGTTAGAGATTGCTCGGTCATTGCGGATTCAATAGCAGCGAAAAGAGAAATTTTAATTATCGAATACGTAATAAAGCTCCAAATATCCAATGTAAATGTCTAAAAGCGAAGTATCAACATAAAAACTACATGTATCGTTAAATTATGTTTATAATTATGCGCTTATCACATTGTCCAGATATATACGTATTCATTCGCTATAGAGAGAAACGTGCGTTTCTTTGTTCCAGAAGAAAAAAAAGGAAAATACGAAAATGTAACACTTGAGTGATATTCCATACGAACGTAGATTTCACTGCGCTAAGCAAATACTGCGTCGAAACGGCCGAAGCGGATATGGAGCTAACTATAAGCCTCGTTATATTTTCGGTGCGATACCACTCGTTGGGGCATTCGGGATAACGAAACGCGTCGATGCCAGAAATTTGGTATGCAAAGTAAGATGAGGGGAGTTAGGGTCGTTTTTCGCGCATCCGTACGTCGGAGAGATCCGCAGAATTATGGCAATTTGAATAATAATACAACTATATATTGGCGAGTCAAAGAAGTTCACGGGGAATTCGTCCGACCACAAATTGGCCGAAACAAAGCGACGCGACGTTCTCGGATAACGAAAACCTTCGGCATGCCTGTTTTTTCGGATGAGGTAGGCTTCTAGAAATCGCTTTCTCCAGAATCTTGATATCCGGAATCATGATTCGATCCGATCGACGCGAATTTCTACGAATCCTGAAAGTCTCAAATACACAAAAAAAGGTGCGAAACATCGGAATTAATATTTCTCTCATTCGTTAAAATTTATGTAAGACGGTATATTAATATATCCTAACCGTTCGTTATTTTACAATCGATTGCTGCGACTTGGTCGAGTTCAATTTTCGTCGTTGCACGAATTATTTTCAATTTTGTCCCCCCGATCGGACCCCGAGTTAAACGTGAGAATTGTTTTTCGGAGCGAGTCGAACTCCCGTAATCGACTTGTGTACCGGCGAAATAATCAGCCGGGGAAAGAAATTCACCAGCACAAGACACACGACCGTGAAAATTGGTCGGCAGGCAACGTACGTTGTCACGCGACGACGACGCTCCCCCAATGACGAGAACGTTCGTGTGTCCGTTTTCGGACGTGGCAAGCGACGGCACGCGGTCGCGGACGGAAATCGCTTTCTCTCTAGTCAAGCAACATCCCGACGCAGTCACACGGACGGACGTTACTGTCGTTGCTCGCGGACTCGACGTCGCGTAACGTGCGACATGCAAGCCCGTGCGAGTCCGAAGGAGCGGCAACGATCGCATGGACGTAACAAAACGGTCCGGTTCGTACGCGGACGACACGAGTCCACGGCGAGAATAAGATGGCGGCGGCGGTGGCAGGCACGCAGCTAGCGCATTGTTCACCCCCAACGGACTGCCACTGTTACTCTTTTGTGTCCCAAGACATCCGTTTCGACGAAAAACGGCATCCCCAGGCGAAATTCCACGCCTTGCTTTAAACCCTGGATGCTTCAGTTCTACGACTAGATTTATACTTCTCTCTGCAATTTTATATTTTGATTTGTATTTTTATTCGTTTATTTTCTAGGTATATTGAGGCATTTATTTATTTAATAATACATAATACGTTTTAATAATCGCATTCAAAATTGTAAAATAGACGGTATGCTTTTATAGATGAAATTACTTCGAACAATAACAAAACATTCTACGAAGATTTAATGAAGAAGAATTCCTTTGTCTTTGTAGATTTTTTGGAAAATCGCATTGTATGACAGACATATAAATCTCCGAATGTATATTTGGCGCTCGGTTGGATACAAAACAGTTTCAAGTCGGCTTTGTCTTGTTAAGAGAACTAAAGAATTGGACGTCTCAAAGAAAAATGAAATCGGTACGTGTTACAGTCACAACCGAAGCATTTCGTTTCGGAAATTGTTTAGATAACGGAAAATAACAGAAAATTTCGTAGTAAAAAACCACATTTTTAAGGGGTCCTTGTTTCCTCGCTCGTCCGGCTCGTCACACGCCGAATCTACGAATCGTTTACGGGAAAAACGCTTATCCACCCGCACGGCTCATTAATGCGCGCTATCAAGCTCCGACACGTTTGTTTGATCGTTACTTCCTTGATTAGAGGGAACGTCACGAAGTTAAGCACTTTTATTTTCGTAATAATCCGATTGTCCGTCTTTATTCTCGGTAGAAAGTACCGATGCCCCGGGTAATTGTCTGCCCCTAAACCGGCCCTGAAGCAAGAGAAAAAGACAGAGAAAGAGAATGAGAACGCGGATGCGCGCGCTCGCGAGAGAGAGAGAGAGAGAAAGTGAGAGACGGACGAAAGGCGAGGAGAGAAGGAACGAAGATGGCAGATAGGATTTGACTCGACGGCGATGGTAGTGGAGGTGTGGTGGTGGTGGCGGTGGTGATGCAGAAGGAAGAGAACGAATGACTTATGCGGAGTAGGAAGGGCAGGAGGGAAAAGAGAACGGGGCGAAGGGAGGGAGCGAGAGAGATAGAAGGAACACGATGATCCGGCGTGGCGAGCGAGGGGGAAAGGGGGAACTACGGGACGAAAGGGACAAGCGCGGCTCGGGGGTTCGGGTTAGCTCGTTCGACCCGTTATCCCTTCTCCGCCTGTGTGAGTCCCGAGTTCTCCCTACCTGTCCTTGCTTCGATTCGAACGAGTCTCCCCTCCTCTCCCCGTCCCCCTTACTTGTCATCCAAAGCGCGCGCGCGCGCGCACGTCGCTCGCACACCCTCCCGTTGTTTCCCCCACTCCTTCTCCCCCTCCCCACTCGTCGCGCGCGACCTCACCGCCTGGCGGGCGACGATCGCGATCGCGAAGCCGCCTCTCTCGAGGTAGACTCGTTCCGCTCCCCTATCTCCGTTCCCCCACCAGGCGGCAGGACGGCGGTGCTAGTCAGCGAGCCTCGCTGCGCTCCCGCCACGGTGACGTCACTCCGAGTAGTGTAGTGCAGTGAGAAGGAGCCAAAGTCAGCTCCGTCTGCGTTACATGGCCCGAGTGTGAAGTTAAGAAAGCGAAGTGAGTTTACGAGGCGTAAACCCCTACACGGTGGAAAAAAAAAAACGAACGCCGAGGTAATTATCGAGTGAGTTCGTTTCGATGTGTTGTCCGGCCGGACGTCTCGGCATTGCCGCGCGCATGCACGCGTATACGTTCGCGCGACGACAACGAGAGTTTTACGCCGCGCGCGCAATCGAGAATCGCGCGCCGAGATAACTTGGTGGTGTTATTCCGCGCGATCGCGTTGCGCCTTCGACGTTGCGGGGCGTCTCGCTCGCGATCTCCGCAGTTCTCTCTGAGGCGAGTCGAGAGTGGTGGTGATACACGGAATATCCCGGAATATATATACATCTATAAATATAATAAACGTGATATACCCGGGCCGCGAAAGTATACACGTCGGTGATGTGAAAGAGAGAAAGGAGAAAAGAAAAGCAATTGTCTCTTGAAGTGAATACATTTTGCGCGCGGGGAGCGACGCGTTACGTGTTATATGCTCTCAACGCGTGGCCGCACGTATTCGTGCATACGTGTACCTAACGCACGCGCGTACCGAGCCGTGTGTATGTGTACGGTACGTGGATACCGTCGTGTCTCGCGCGAGTAAAAAGGCGCGAGTAGTAAGGAGAGGAAGAGGAAACGTCGCGTTCGAATTGATTCGCGTTATCAGCAGTGGGTCACGCACACGCACACACGCACGCACACACGCACGCCGCGCGGCGCGCGACCGAGGCTCGCTTGGGCGAACGACGAGGGAATATCCGCGTCGCTTTTTCGCGCGCGCGGGCGCGCGTCCGTGGTGACGCTGTGCCGTGTCGCGTAACGTGTCGTGTCGTGTCGTGCTGTGCCGTGTCGTGCCGTTCCGTTCCGTGCCGTGCTGGTGCCGTGCTGGTGCCCGTGTTCTGCCGTGCTGTGCCCGTGCC